TTATTGTTCATCTCTTACTGTGACTAATTTACAAATTAAACTTTATCATAGGTATGTATGTATGTATGGGGTAAAACAGCATATATAGGGTTCAGTACTATCCATGGTTTCAGGCATCCACCAAAGGTCTTGGAATGTATGCCCTGAAGATAAGGGGGCCACTGTAACACTATCATCTAATATAGAGATAATATTCAAACTTTCCCACGGGTAAAGTGTCCTTTATGACTGACTTTCCCCCATCTTGGATCCAATCCAGGATCATACTTGGCATTTTTCATATCTCCTCAGCCTTTTTAAAAATTACTTTTTAATATAATCATCTGAGGATATTTTTTCCATTGCTTTTCAGAGAGAGTGGAAGGGGGGGAGAGAAAGAGAAACATTGATGTGAAAGAGACACACAGATTGGTTGCCTCCCGCATGTACCTGGACAGGGGCCAGGATAGAGCCTGCAACCCAGGTAGGTGCCCTTGGCCAGAATCGAACCCGGGACCCCTTAGTCCTCCGGCTGATGCTCTAACCATTGAGCAAAACTGGGTAGGGCCTCAGTCTTTTCTTTTTCTTTCTTTTCTATGACATTCAAAAAAAATTTAGCCTGGCTGGGTGTGGCTCAGCGGTTGAGTGTCGACCTAGGATCCAGGCGATCAGGGTTCGATTCCCGGTCAGCGCACATGCCCGGGTTGCGGGCTCGATCAATGACTTTCTCATCAGTGATGTTTCTGTCTCTCTCTCTCTCCTTCTCCTTTCCTCTCTCTGAAAGCAATAAAGATATATTTTTAAAAAAAATTTAAAACAACACAAATTTGTAATCTCACAATATGGAGGTCAGAAGTCTGAAACGGTTTCACTGGGCTAGCATCAAGTCGTGGCAGGGCTGCATCCTTCTGTTTCCTTGCCTTTCCCAGCTGCCAGAGGCCTCTTATATTCCTGGGTTCGTGGCTCCTGCCTCCATTTTCAAAGCTGGCAGCATCACCCTGGCTGGTTTGCTCAGTGGTTAGAGCGTCGCCCCCCCCAAGGGTCTCAGGTTCCACTCCAGACAAGGGCACATACCTCAGTTGTGTGCGGGAGGCAACCAATGAATGTTTCTCTCTCTCTGTGTCTCTCCCCCTCCCTTCCACTCCAAAAAATCAAATCGATGGGGAAAAAATATCCTCTGTAAGGATTAACAATAACAAAAAGCTGGCAGCATGTATCTTGAATCCGGCTTACTCACTGCATCTCCTTCTGTCTCAGACCCTCCTTCCTCCTTCTGGGGACCCTTGCCATGGTATTTGGCCCACCCAGACGATCCAGAGTTATCTCCCATGACATTAGCATTTATGAAGTGTCCAGGCCAGTCATTTTGCAGGATGACGCTCACTTTGGTTTGTCTGTTTATTTCCTCAAGATCAGATTCAGAGTGAACATCTTTGGCAGGAATACAACAGAAGAGAGGTAGCATGCCCATGTTCGTAGTGTCGTCAGCACATCACATCAGGACAGACATGGTGTTAGTCTGTCTTGTTAATAGTAATGAAACTTTGATTACATTATTAAGGTGGTGTTTCCCAGATCAGGCTAGCTTTGGATAAACTTAGAAACCTGAGAATTATAGGCACTGGCTTTCCAAGCAGCCGGAGAGACCGCAGCACACCCGGCCCAGCTTCATCCTCTTGGGGGACACCAGGGAGTCCTGCCGGCGGGAAATGGGAAGAGTGGCCAGGCTCCGCGGTGGCACCACGTCCCCAGGTCTGAGGCCCCTGGAGATGGCTCCACTGCCACTCTGCCCGGTGCTGTGGAGCCCAGGACGGAGATGACCCCCCTGCCATGTGTCAATGCATGTGTCCCCCGTGTACGTGTGCATTCCGGGGGAGCCTGAAAGGAGGTACGCGCACCAGCGTGTCCACACGCGCGTTCAGTTCCTCCCAGTCTCCTCCACGGCCTTGCACACTGGAGGCTCGGGGCTGGGTTGTTGCGTGTGTCAGGCGTCTCTGCAGAGCCGGTCGCGGTCCTCAAGTGCTCCCCCTACCAGCGGCTTGGTACGGCCTGTGGCCCCTCCGACGGTGGTTGCGCCCGCACTTCCCGGAAACATTTGCCTCCCCCCGGCCGTGGGGCCGCCGCGCCCT